GATCAATTAATAGGCAAAAAGCATGTGTATTCTTGTGTCTGTTTTGTTAAATGTGACAGATTAGTGAAATACAATTAAATCTAGTGAACAAAACCTCTGAATTATGGGTAGTGTGGAAGATTGCAATTAGAAGATTACAAGACAATTTTCTTATATTATTTATGTGTAGGACTTTCAAGTTAGTGGGTTAATTGTAGCCTGCTGCAAGAAGGTGCAGTTTACATCATCTCCCTGCTCTTCCACAGAGCATCAAATGATTATGCGTTTCAACAGACTGGTGCTAACCCTCAGTCTTTGCTGTCCCTTGCCTAGAAAGCAAGGAAACACCTCATTCCTTACGGATAGCTTTGTTTTATCTTTTCCATGTTAACCTTGATTTTTCTTCTCTTTTTTTTTTTTTTTTTTTCTTCTGCACTAAATTAGCAGGGACAAACTGAGAGAATCTTACCAGCTGTCAGTGAGATGAAGCCTCAGTCCTGGCAGGCTGCGATACACAAAGGTGTACAAAAGGAGGAAACAAAGCAACAAGAGTAGTGTCAGGGAGGGAGACCTTTTTTATAACTGATTTTTATTTAGCTTTCATTTCTGGTTCTCTCTCTCTCCCCTCTTAAGAAGACATAAATAGTGTCTGAGTATGTATATTTTTTTTTAGTGGTACTCTACTACTGCAATGGTTTTTATGAGCTTGAATATTTAATTATATGTAGTAGTACTTGTAACAAACTTTGGGGCCCCTTGAATATGATGCTGTACAAAGATGGCAAAGCAGTCCCTGCCTGCATGAATTTGCAACTTAAATAGAGGAAGCGAAGATTTTTAAGAGGAAGCAAAACTAATAGGGCCAGCCAATTGGACTGGAGTCCCACAGCCTGTCAGGAGTAAAACCAGTAATAGAAACACATTGGTGAAATCCCAAAGAGGCTAGTGCCCACACTGCTGTTCACGCAGGAGGATATCCTCAGACTATCTTCTATCTTCCTGTCCTCAGGAAATAATTCAGACAGGATGAGCACTCGGAGCAACCCCATGAACGCTTGGAGAGTGGAGCGTGCCTCTTTAAATCCCCTGGCTTCTCACTGGTAAAACAACTGACTTGATTTCAAATGGAATATCCAATTTTGAAAAATAAAACTATTGCCTGAAGGACTGAAACTTGAGGCATGACAAGGAAGGCTTTCAGACACTTGCAATATTGCCAGAAACTCAAAACCATAAACCTATCAGGTGCTGATTTACCACCTTGAATGACATTAAAAGCTTTTGGTTAGAAGCTACTCTGTGAATTAGTCATTTTTCTGGTAAAGGCTTGGGTTTGCTGTCCTGTCTTTGTAGTGACTAATGACCTTAAGATGCTGCTGAGAAGGAAGTGGGGTTTAGCCCATATGTCCTGTTTTGCCTTTGTCCTTCACGCAGTGCCATAGTTCCTGAATACTTCCAGGAGTATATTAAGCAGACTAACATCTGTAGAATAACTAACATCTGCTGTGCTGTTCTTGTTTCCTCCCCAGAGGAGATGTGTGGCAGAGTGGCTTGTTTTATTTTAAGTGGACTTCCAAAACAACAGAAAAGCACATTAAAAAAAAAACCACCCTGAGATAAGTCATCTTTGAGAGCTCAACAACAGCACTTGATACATATACACATATAAGGTAAAGTCAAAGAAATGTGCCATGTGTTTCAAGCGGAAGGCAGCAAGGTGGGTTTTGGCCCTTCCTTCCACCGTGAGTTTGTTCAGTGGACCAGCCTGGAGAAGGCTCCTTGTCCTGAGCCAGTGAGCTGCTCATCACTGTACAAAGTTTCCCTGAGCTAAAGGATCAAAGCTGCTGACTTGAGCCTTTAGTCTGGAGCTCTCATCAGCCTCTTGGGCACAATGGCTTGTGCTGCTTACTGCTGGTTTTAATCAGACTTGGTGAGTGCAGTTCTCGGCAGCCGTGCTTTGGGTAGTGGCTGCAGTCTTCATCTGGAGCTGGCTGCCTCTTAAGCAATCTGTTGTGTGTATGTCTGTATATTCCCCAAATGCTTTGTGAGTCTTTGGACTCAAAGATGTGCTGGAAAACACAAGGTGATTCTTTTTTTAATCAAACAAGGTTCACAAAGATTTTTTTGTATGTGGAACTGAAATTTTATTGTTCGCTTTCGTTGCCTCACAGCTGTAGCTTTCCAAAGTATTCCCATCCCGCCTACCTCAGCTGATAAGTTTCCCTTAAACTTATTCGTAACATTACTTTCGGTACTCCTATTTTTATCCTTCCTTTTATTAGTTTCAGAATGACTGTTTCTGTGTCAGTGTTTTATGTACACCATACTTTCATTTGTAAAACACTGCGGTTGTATTGCTGCTGCTGCTGACTGTATTCTTATTTCTAACTGAACTTGCTAGGTAGTCCTGTTTGCAGAATCTTAAAACTTCAGGCTGTGTAACTGGTTTGGATTAATCCTAGAATAGTTTAGTTTTACAAGGGAAGTCTGCATGTCATCTGGTCCAACCTCCCACTCAAAGCAGGGGCAATTTCAAAATCGCATTAGGTTGCTCAGGACTTTGTACTTAATGCTGACATCCTGGGAATAACTGTAATTATGAAAATTGTAATTAGAAACACCTCATATGCTAATATACCTTTACCATTTTTACTTTCAACCAATGGTTAAGGCATTGTAAATGTGTACTAAAATGCTTTTTTTTCTTTTGCTGTTGTGGTCTATTCTACTTAAGTGTAGTTGCAGAAATCATTGCTTTTGTCTTACTCCTTTTGCCTAAGTGTGGAAAAGAAATTTTTTTGGTTCAACTGTTGAATGAAATCTGACTTGAGAAGAAAAAGCTGAAAAAATACCTGGGTGATTTGAGATGTAACGTATGCTTCACACAGTCTGTGGGGTTCATTACTTGTTTGCATGCCTGTTCTGTAAAGGATGGTGGAGGAAAGCACTTGTTGCATGAGAACCAGCAGCTCCCCTGCGCAGCCCTGCACGTTCCTGCAGTGCCCTTTGGCTACACGACAGCTCCATCTACTGTTCTGGACCTACAGCTCTCCCTTTGTGTCCAAACCTTTCACTTCACAATTTTATATTGATTCTTGCACCTCTTCTCTCTGACTTTGTATATTTTCAAATGGTATTTACTCTTGTGAGGAGATGCTCCTTGGGATGCATCCAAACTGTTTTCATGCTCTGGATGCAGAATTTCTTGGAATTTCTTGACAATAACCAGCAGTTGTGACATCTCTCTCTTTCTCTGCTTTACAAACATTTTAGTCACATCATGTGTGTTACCCTTGCAAAGACAAGTTAATACAAGATATGAAGCCCCATCATCTAGCAATAAAGGAGTTACTGCTCTTCAGTTTGGTAATAGGTATTTGTAATTTTTTTTTTCCTGAAGAAGTCTGGACTTGTGTCTGTGCTGCCTGGGATCTTAGACATGTCCATGGCTTGATGTGTTATGAAGATGATGAACAGAGGCAGTTTAGCTGCAGTGAGGCTATCAAAATTTTACAGATTTTTGGGAGGAACGGGAAAGAAGAACATGACTGATGGCAGCAAGTGAGTCTACAGCATGGCTCAGTCAAAGTGGAGAATCATGACACTTTGATCAACGTGGTTTTTAAAACCAGCAAAAGAAAACCTAAATTTCTGTACTGTTCTCCTTTGTCTTGAGAGTCAGACTCACTAGAGCATTGGGATTTTGGGGGGGTGTTTTTTGTGGGAGTAGACTGACAGATCACATCACAAGGAAACCATAGTAATTATGTCTCTAAAGAAAATTGGCCATCATTTGGAAAAATATATTCAAATTGGAATATTACTATCCTAATTTTCCAGCTCCTGTGGAATGAGAACAGTAAGATGAGCTTTAGAATCTGTTCTGTGCAGTACCCTATTGAATAACCTCAGTGTGGTGCCAAAAGGATGCTTACCCATTAAACTATTCTGATTCCTCCCCCTTTTTCCCCCCCCCTTCACTGTATGTTGTTTTTTTTTGTTTGTTGTGTATTAAGCTTCCTGCACTGAGAAGATTTTGGTGGATATCTTTGTAGTTCAGGGAAGTTGAAAACTTTTTCTGGTGTAGTCTGGTAGTTGGCACTGTGGCTTCAGGCAGGAAGGATGCAGAATCAAGTTTTTAAAGCGAAATGTTTAATTTTAAATGATGCCATAAAAGGCAGACAGGACACATGAACCTATTTTTCCTTATCTGTGGCTAGCAGCCTAACCAGAAAAGTTAAATAGAAGAAGTTACTTCCCTTTGCAAACCTTGAACAAAAGGCTTATTAGTTGTACTTTCTGATAGTGTTGGAGTTTAAGAAACTGTACTGTGATTTTTATTAATGTGCCTTACCTAATCCTTCTCTTTAATTGTCCCAAGGTCTTATGACCAAAGATTTTTTCAGTTGCTGACCTCATTCTGCCTTTCTACATCTGATTATGCTTGATGTAGAAACTAAAGTTAGTAACTGTGCAAATGAAAATGGAGCAGGTGAGTTATCAGTGTAAAATAAGCCCAGCATATGTTGTCAGCACTTGAATTCAGTGAGAGAGTCCTTAAATATGCACGTATTAACATCACCATATACTTTTGAGTAAGTAGTAAATGGTCCCACTGAGCAAAACTGTAGAATATACATAAACTAGTTTTATTTGGGTCTGGAAGCAGTCACTGAAGTTAACTTATTCAGGGTGAAGACTTTGTCTTTCTTATGTCTGTCAAGACCATGCACAAACCTTCAACTGCTCCTGCTGTTCTGCTAGCAGTGACTTGCAACACCACTGTCTTCTCACTTCAGTCCAAGAGTGAGTAAGCTTTGAGAGAGTTTGGAAAAGACACTCTGCAGCAGACTGTGTATCTTAAGTAAGTTCCTGTGGCTCTCTTTGACCCAAAGCAAATATCGGTATGTGGTGTGGAGTAGCTGGATCCTGCAGGTGAAGAGTTAGGCTTTCCTGAGCTGCCTGGAGGAACCTGCCAAGCAGTTAGGTCACTACATTTGCAGCGAGTGCTTGGATTTGCGTGTGATTTGCTGCTTTTTTTACGTTAACTTGCAGATGTTCCCAAAACAGGAAATGGGAAAGGTTGGTTCCTGGAGCATCTGAGAGATTTGGCAGAGTTGGTGCAAAGGCAGATGGGTGAGCAGAGATGTTCAAGCCAGCAGATGTCAGGCTGTTACCGCCAGCAAGAAACAATATGAAAGGAAAAGATGATGCTTTTTGCTGACGGAAGTCAAAACTGGGGAAACTACAGGTCATCTTCAACCAATGAATGAAAGTAGTGATGATTTGTGAACACACGGTAATTAAGCAGCATAGCTCCTCTGGATTAGTTTGGGGTTTTTGTTTGGGTTTGGTTTTTTTTTTTTTATAGTAAAAGCCTGTGTGGGTATTCTGGAATAAGATTATGCCTGTGCAGGGAGTTACCTTGTAACAGCAATTGATAAACTTTCTAGTATGGATGAATGCTTGGGGAAGGATCAAAGGGGGATAATGCATACAAAGCAGTGGGAATAAAAGCTGAAAAACTGACCTTAGGAATAGAAATTAAATTTGTAATGAGGGGATAAAGCTAACACTGTGGGGTTTGGGTTAAATAGTATGTGTAGGCTTGCAGTATTTATAGGGATGTGGAAAAATTGGGGCAGGTATGTGAATTATTGAAAATCACAAGGAGATAAGTACTCCATAAAACTGTCTGAAAAGCTTGGCAGTAGCACAGGAAGTACAGAGAATGAGTATTTTCTAAGAATTAAAAAAAAAAAGCAACAAAAAACCCCAACAAACAAATAAAAAACCCACTTGCTAACAAGAATCTGTTTAAATTTCAATCTTTTACCAAAAGAGGGAGAGAAGGAAGAGGTGGCAGCTGGTTGGTTTTGTGGTGTGGGTTGGTTTGTTTTTTTAAATAAATGATAAGGCTAGTAAGGAATTTTCCTAAGGCTCAAAACACTGCGGGACAATTACTCTTTTTGCTTGTTGATACAGTTTTATTACATCATGACCCCCAGCAGATTTGTCTGATTTCCTAAATATATTTAGAATATCTCATGTTAAGTATGATACTGTTTTTATAGTATGCCTTTCTAGGGCATGGGGTTTTTTATAGCTGAAAATAGCATTTCTCCTTCAGTGTGTACACCTGTAATTTTGGCTGGTTTCCTTTGTAAAGCAGAAGAATGTTGATGTGTTATGTACCTAAGAATACAAATTAATTCAATGTCATGTTTTTTATCTTACTAAAACTTTCTTGCTTTTCTTTATTTTTCAACTGCAACATGACTGTCAGCACTTGCAGTGGACTTCATGATCAGTTTTAGGTTTCTGAACATGTTGTTGTTCCTTGTTCTTACAGACTGATCACTTTGGATTTGATGAAAATCTTACGTTCCAACAGCGGTATCTAGTAGCAGATCAGCACTGGAAGAAAGACAATGGACCAATACTGTTTTATACAGGCAATGAAGGAGACATCACATGGTTCTGCAACAATACGGTACGTAGAAAACAGATTATCAATTCTTGAGTTACAATCCTTATTTCCAATAGTGGCCTACTGAAGAATAAGGAAGAACAAGGACACGGTGTCACAATATCATTTAGAGAAGTTTGTAACGGTTGTTAGGATTGTTATAGGAGGAAAAGGAAGCTGAAAAAAGCACAGAAAAAGTTTTAGGTGGTTCAGGGTCTCATTCGAAGCCATCAAAATCAAGGGGATGCACTTGTATTAACTTTTATAAGGTGCCTCAAGCTCAAAATGCAAAATTTTGGACCAAATTACACCTATCCCAGTACTTTAGATTCCCCGAATAAAATGGGAGGGTTTGGTGGGTTTTTTTCTTTTCCATAAGAAAAACGTGAAGTGAAATGAAGGGGGCTGGAAATCAAAGATAAGTGATTCTTGTTCTCTGACAACACCTGTGGAGGTTTTTCCTTCCCTGACTGAAGTAAGTGCAGAATGGCACGTGTGGGCATTTTTCAGCCACTTCAATACAAAGTCCAGTAACACAACAGGAGGTGGCATGTGCTGGGCTCAAAGCAACCAGGGACTGCTTACATAGTTTGTTCTGTCAGCAGGTGATCTGTCTGCCTGTTCCCATAACTGGTTGTAACAAGCTGCTGTCAACAAGTAATAACAAGTTGTAGTTAGTTATTAGTTGAAAATAAGTGTATTGCAATGCTTGATTATTGCCAAAGAAATTTTGTGTTTTCTGTAATGCAGTCCTAACCCAAACATGTGCTTTTCTTCTGTAGTGTTTTTTATTTCCTATGGATTAAGTTCTTGCCATAGGAGTTCTGGCAGGATTGCCTATGTGTACTCACAAAACAAATACTGCTTAATATTTTGCAGCATTGAAATATTCATATTGTCTTTGTATGTGTCCCTGTGTCTGGGTGGATATCTGTTTTGTGTGTTTTCTTACTTCAGTGATCCTTTAAAACCAAATTATACTCTGTCTTTATAGTTGTATTTTGATAGTGATACCTTTCTAATCAAAGGACAAGAGTTGGAATACACTAGACTGAAAGTCTAGACTTTGAAAATAATTGATTCAACTTATTTAAATGTCTGTTTTCCTCCAACCAGGGTTTTATGTGGGATGTTGCTGAAGAACTTAATGCCATGTTAGTATTTGCTGAACATAGATATTACGGAGAATCTTTGCCTTTTGGGAATGAGTCTTTCAGCGTAAGTGTCGTCTTTTGTCTTCCTTAAATGTGTTCTGTACAAACACAATTCTGCCTATTGTAATTCTTGCCAGTGTAATGACTGTTAGCCTGAGTAACACTTAGACGTGTTAAAAGCACACAACTATACTATATTTGTAACTATCAACTCTAGGATAAAAAAAAATCTTGAGACTTTCTAGCACTTTGAAATATTCCTTGCAGGTGTCTTTTATGTGTTATCAGGCACAGATTTAGAACTCAGCAGCTGCTGGAAATCACTCCCATGCTGTATATAACCTGCTTTCTTTGTCTCAGGATTCCAAGCACCTGAATTACTTGACATCAGAACAAGCTCTGGCAGACTTTGCAGTACTGGTTGAGTACTTAAAGGCGACCATTGCAGGAGCTCGTTACAGTCCTGTCATAGCTATAGGAGGATCTTACGGAGGAATGCTTGCAGCCTGGTTTAGGATGAAGTACCCCCACGTGGTAGTTGGGTGAGTGTACTCATCCTGCTCAAACTCAGAGCAGGCATTTGTTACTTCTGTGCTATAAATATTACAGCACTAGGAGAGGTACCTCTTGGCTTGAATTTTTCACTGTTGGGAGGAGGAATTAAGTTACCTTGAATTTGGAAAGAGGCACTGTTTGCCTACTGAAGACAGCTGTAGGTCAGCAGGTACTGGATGGTGTGTATTTTCAGAGCTATCTGTTAGATTTGTAAAAACAATTATTATGAACACCACACATAATTTTTTTAGGGTCATCAGACTTCCTGGTTACTTGAGGCATGTCTTTAATCTCTTCAGTGCCTTAGTTCCTGACTGGGAGACAAGATTAGTAACCAGAATCATAGAATGGTTTGAGTTGGAAGGGACCTGTAAAGGTCATCTAGCCCAACCCTCCCTGCAGTGAGCAGGGACATTTTCAACTTGATTGGGTTGCTCAGAGCCCCATCCAACCTGGCCTTCAATGTTCCCAGGGATGGGGCCTCCACCACCTCTCTGGGCTATCCGTTCCAGTCTTTCACCACCCTCATTGTAAAGAATTTCTTCCTTATATCCAGTCTAAACCTACCCTGTTTTAGTTTAAAACCATTACCCCTTGTCCTGTCACAACTGGCCCTGCTAAAAAGATTGTCCCCATCCTTCCTATAAAACCCCTTTAAGAACTGATAGGCCACAAAAGGTCTCCCTGCAGCCTTCTTTTCTTCAGGCTGAACAACCCCAACTCTCTCAGCCTGTCCTCCTAGGAGAGGTGCTCCAGCCCTCGGATCATTTTTGTAGCCCTCCTCTGGACCCGCTCCAACAGGTCCATGTCCTTCTTGTGCTGGGGGCTCCAGAGCTGGATGCAGTGCTCCAAGTGGGGTCTCACCAGAGTGGAGTAGAGAGGCAGAATCTCTTCCCTCGACCTGCTGGCCACGCTGCTTTGGATGCAGCCCAGGATACGCTTGGCCTTCTGGGCTGTGAGCGCATGTTGCTGGCTCATGTCCAGCTTTTCATCCACCAGTACCCCCAAGTCCTTCTCTGCAGGGCTGCACTCAATCCCATCATCTCCCAGCCTGTATTGATACACTGAGGGTTCACATGGGCTTGCTTCTTGAGCTTGTCCAGGTCCCTCTGGATGGCATGCTGTCCCTCAGGTGTGTCAACCACATCTGCTAGAGAGTAGATTTTTGTGGGTAGGGGCTCTTAAGTTGAGCTTGCACAATGCCTAGTGAGAAAGACCTAGCTGCCAGGTGAGGATGGGGAAAAAAAAAATGAAGTCTAAATTTCTACTTCATGTATTTACTGATCTCTTTGTACTAGTGTCCAAGACTTATAGCCTTCACCAGCCTTTGCATGAAGACCTACAGAATAGTTTTGCAATGTTATGGTTAGTTCACTTAGGGCTCAGTGTCCGAGATGAATTATAAATATTACTTAGATAGTGGCTGCGGGGAAAATATTGACCAGAGGATGGAAGGTCACTTTGCAGGGGTTCAGAATGCATGTTTTTCCAAACAGTTTTTCTGTGTCCCTTTGCAGAGCTCTGGCAGCCTCTGCTCCAATCTGGCAGTTTGGTGATTTGGTTCCATGTGGCACTTATTTCAGCATAGTGACTAATGATTTCAAAAAGAGTGGGACAGGCTGCTCAGAAAGCATCCGGAATTCCTGGAATGCCATTAACCACCTTTCCTCAACAGGTAAGACCTCACCAATACTTTTTCAAAGGGTCTTAATGTTCAGATAACTTCATAAAATCAGCAAGTTTGCTATGGATGTCACCTGTATATGTATTGATTATTTTTTTTTTTTTTTGAAACTATACTCTTAAGACTGACAACTGCCAAATGAGCTTAGCATTGTTTTTTAAATGTCTGTTTTGTTGGATCCCAAGGTTTGTTTACACCTGGTATGATTCAGGATCCAGGTCCAAACATCCCTAAGGTCAGACAGGAGCTGGCTCCAGATCAGAGCCTCAAGGCTTTTTGACAAAGTAGGCTAGATAGTCATTACTCTAAAAGAATAGATTAAATACCAAGAGAGTCAATCGGGTATAGAAAATCACTGCAATCCTTATGGATTCAGTGCTAGGGACTCAGCTAAGCTCGATCTTAAAGGTCTTTTCCAACCCAAATGATGTTATGGTTCTACAACTACCTGGAAGGAGGCTGTAGTGAGGTGGGGGTCAGTCTCTTCTCCCAAGTAACAAGTGGTAGGACAAGAGGAAACTGCCTTAAGTTGCGTCAGGGGAGGTTTTGATCGGCTATTAGGAAGAGTTGTTGAGCATTGGAACAGGCTGCCTAGGGAAGTGATGCAGTCCCCATCACTGGTGGTATTTAAAAGATGGGTAGACGAGGTGCTTAGGGACATGGTTTAGTGATGAACATGGCAGTGTTCAGTTAATCGTTGGACTCCATGATCTTAAGGGTCTCTTCCAAACTAAATTATTCTGATTCTATGTCAGATGAGCTCACTGTACAGCAAAGGAATTCAATTAAAAAAAAAAATAAATCTTGCTACTTGAATTCAGTGTCCTAAAAAGAAAGCCTGGTATGATGAGTTAGCTAATTAAAAGCAGGGAAGCTGAATTAGATGGGTTCTGGACCGATAAGAGTCACAAGAGATCTATCCATTAATAGTCCATGTACTGTGAGCTAGCTGGTTTAAAGTTTTCCTTTCATTGGAAGAAGAGTGCCCTGATGTTATTTCCTATCAAAAAAATGCCAAATGTCTTTTAGATTTTTTTTTGTTAATGTTATCTTAGCTGTGACATACCCATGTCCTGAAGTATGCAGGTTGTATTTCCCTTCACTTACAGATGCTGACTAAAATTCGATCTGCTATGCTTGTATGTATGTGGAATAATTTCACCAGATTAGTTATATTAAGTGAAATATTTTTTGGCAGGAGCACAACTGATCTATGTGTTAATGGTGCAATACATTCAACATAATTTTATTTTTTTTATTAAAGATGCAGGTTTACAGTGGCTTTCCAGCACATTTCATTTGTGCAGCCCACTAAAAAATCTTCAGGATGCTGCTATGTTGAAAAACTGGCTGAGTGAAACATGGGTCAACTTGGCTATGGTGAACTATCCCTATAAAGCTGACTTCCTACAGCCTCTGCCAGCTTGGCCTATACAGGTAATTGAGAACCAATGTTGTGTAGAGTTGACCATTTGGTTAACTAATTCTCTCCTTCTCTCCCAGTCTGCACCTTTTCCTTTATTTTTGGCTTTGTAGAACCAACATGGCTGAAAAAAAAGAGAACCAGGGCAGTATCTTCCTGTGCATCAGCTGGTTTGTTGACTCACTGGCACCTGAAGGGCTAATAGGTTGCATCAAAGGAGCCCAGAAGAAGAAAAGTGCCAGGGATGACTGAAAAAACTCAGCTGTCCTGCAGAGTTGTTTAGGAGCAGAAATGTTGCACAAAAAGCACATGCAATTAGAACTTCTGATGCCAGGCTTAGCTGGCAGAGCTTGCAGTTAAAGAGAAAGTTTTGAGCCTATGTCCTTTTTGACATGGGAAAACTAGGGAACCACATTTCCTCTCTCACCACAAACATGTGCCTTACAGGGTCAATTCTCAAAGGAGGACCACTTTTCACACCTGCAAGCCTTCACTTGTGCAGTTCTGTTTATCTGCAATGGTTTCTCCAAGATTTCTGTTTTCTTGGGAGTGTGTTTTTTTTCCTTTTAAGACCTTGCCTGAATTTTCCTGCATGGCTTTGGATTACGACGTCTGGCAGGCAAGGTAGATAAAATATTAGTATTTTTGGCTATTAAACAGTAGTTAAATATAAAATTTAAAAATTTCCCTTGTGTAGAGCTGCCTGATGGAGGAGAGGAGGGACATTCATCTGTTTGATGTAGCTGTCTGCAAAAGGCAGTATGAACACCTTAATTATTTCTGCTTTATTACCAGTCTGACACAACCTAAGAAACAGAATCATAGGTGTGCTCACCTTCACCACTGTCTATGCTATCTGCTTAACTGAGGTATAAACCTAAAGTAGAAAAGGCCGTGGCTTGTCTAGGCAATGTTGATGTATGAAAGCTGAATTATTTAAGCTGTTCAGATACTTCTTTCTGAAACAGAAGTTGTAATCTGACCCTGATGGTAAGAAAAGGGCTGGGGGGGGAATTGTGTTTGGGTAGCTAGAGAGAGAGAGATGTATGTTGCTTAATCTGCTCTCTGTTGTGGGCTGCCAGTACTTTCTCAGAAATGCTGATCTCTTGTCTCTACCATGCGATCTGAGCTTCAGATACATGGTTGTCTGCAGCCCTGTGTTCTGCTATCTCTCCGCAGTGTATATTTGCAGGAATTAGTGAGCTTTCCAAGCCTCCACTTTATGAGTTAAGAACTGATGGCAGAGCTAGCCAAACCATAAAACCTGCTTGGAATGGCAAAATGTGGAAGCTGTACTCTGGTGTTGTCTGTAGGGAACAAGGGAGGGGTCGGTTTCCTAGCTTCCACAATGAAAACGAGGGAAAAAGATTATACAGGGGGAGGAAGGATAGTAAGATTGCTTCTTGGAAGATGCACAATTTGCATTGGCCATGTGAGTTGTCCCTGTGTGCCTGTACTTGAACAGCATTGGAGTTGCAGTGCATCCTTTGCTCCCTGCAGAGAGTAATTCTGGATTCTTCTGATGGGCTGGGAGCTCAGATTCACAGCTTCTACCCTTTGCTGTTCATGTATTAGTCCCAGCTTCTCGGGAGCAGGGGTAAGGAGGCAGCCTTGCCAAAGAGAATATTGTCACTTTAAAAAAGATGTTTTAAGATGAAAAAATTTCCTGGGGCAGTAGCTTTTGTGTTTTCTTTGCTTTGTTTTTTCCACTACTGATGTCCTCAGTTAAGATTTTGAATTAAACTCTTATCTGAGATGGCTCTTAATTTTTCTCTGGCAAAACAGTGCCTTGTTCCACCACCTCATATCTTCCAAACACGAAGAAGTAAGAATTTTGCAATGCTGCTGTATAAAAGGACTTAAATATTAGAACTTTCCTTACGTGAATGTTTCCATTTGTACTACAGCACACTGCAGGGAACTCCAGTCTATACCTGGAGCTTCTCTATTATATATTTGCATGTGTTATCTTTCATTACAGAGGAGCTAAATAATCTTTTGTATTGTCTATTTTATTGTCTATTTTCTAAGTATTGTCTATTTTCAAGAATGGGAAGTGGATCAAAAAGCTTGGTGAATTAAATATTACGGTTGCACTGTTTTTAAAGCTTTAATTGGGAAATGTAAAGTTTCAGGCTCCTCATAGTAGCATGCACTACACAAATGGGATACTGCTTTTTATGATAAAGCTGAGGGTATATTACTGCATAGAAAGATGCTTTCTGGTAAGTGGTCTGACTACTTTGAAAAGAAATTTATATCCTATCAGGTATCATGTATTTATTTCTTGCAGATTTAGACCCCCTCCTTTCTCTTTGTTGCAGGAAGTCTGCAAGTTCTTGAAGGATCCCAGTCTCTCCGATAAATTGTTGCTGCAGAATGTTTTCCAGGCAGTAAATGTATACTACAATTATTCAGGAGAAGCTGCGTGCTTAGACATGTATGAGACTGCAACAAAGAGTCTGGGCCAGTTGGGCTGGTACTATCAGGTATGCGCTTTATCCTTTCTAAATTGTAACTCAGCTAGATCAGTTTTCCCAGGAGGTTTAGGTAGTATCTTCATTATCTAGCTAATTATTGAGTTTCAGCTCTTTGTGTTGACTGAAAACGATGTACAGCAGCATAATCTTGGTCTTCTAATTCTCCCCATCCCAGCTGTCCACCTCGGTTTGTGCAAGTAAATATGTCAGGGTATGTTGATACTGATTTCTTTCAGCTAAAGCTGTTTATCCTGTAGCTCACTGACATCCAGCCTTTCCCATCAAGTAGGTTACAAAAATACAGATCCCTGCAATAAGGGGTCCAGGGCATTCTGCTCTCCCCATCCCATTTACTAAGAACATGCAATGCTGTTGTACACAGTCTCTCTTCTGGGGAGCAGGGCGTTAAGGTGTTAAGAATTGGTGTTCAGGTTGTGACCATCTGATCTTGGCTACTGTTTCCTCTGTATTTGTTCTGGACAGCCACAGGAGATGTGCAGGCTTTACAAGTTGTGCTGTGAGAAAGGGGAACTGCCATATGGGTAACAAAGAATATGGCAGCTGGGCTCATCAAAACAACATATCTACTCTGCAGCTTGTCCCCTGCCGCCTTTTGAAGGCATGTGGGAAAGGGGGCAAGGAGGAACAGACTGTGAGTTAGATAAATTGCCATGGTGGGGGCTATATCATTTCCAGGATATAATTTGGGGTTTTTTTAGCTAAGGTGTTGAAGAATAGTGTGAAAGATGAAATTGTTGCTTGGTACCTGTGTTCTGGCCTGTCTACAAGAAGGGCTATAAGGAGGATCTGGGGAACTACAGGCCTGTCAGCCTGACATCAGTGCCAGGGAAGGTTACAGAGCAGATCATCTTCAAGTGCCATCATGCAGCATGTTCAGGACAACCAGACTATTATGCCCAGTCAGCATGGGTTTATGAAAGGCAGGTCCTGCTTGACTAACCCGATCTCCTTTTGTGACAAGGTGACCTGCTTAGTGGGTGAGGGAAAGGCTGTGGATGTTGTTTACCTGGACTTTACTAAAGTTTTGACACCATTTTCTGCAGCATTTTCCTGGAGAAACTGGCTGCTCATGGCTTGGATGGGCATACTCTTTGCTGGGTAAAAAACTGGCTGGATGGCCGAGCCCAAAGAGTTCTGGTGAATGGAGTTAAATCCAGTTGGTGGCCAGTCACAAATGGTGTTCTGCAGGACTCTGTGTTGGGCCCAGTTCTGTTTAATATCTTTATCAATGATCTGGACGAGGGGATCGAGTGCGCCCTCAGTCAGTTTGCAGGTGACACCAAATTGGGTGGGAGTGTTGCTCTGCTTGAGGGTGGGAAGGCTCTAGAGAGGGACCTGGACAGGCTGCATCGATGAGCCGAGGCCAGCTGCATGAGGTTCAACAAGGCCAAGTGCCGGGTCCTGCACTTGGGTCACAACAACCCCATGCAGCGCTACAGGCTTGGGGAAGAGTGGCTGGAGAGCTGCCTGGTGGAAAAGGACCTGGGAGTGTTGGTCAACAGCTGACTGAACATGAGCCAGCAGTGTGCCCAGGTGACCAAGAAGGCCAATGGCATCCTGGCTTGTATCAGGAATAGTGTGGCCAGCAGGAGCAGGGAAGTGACCGTGCCCCTGTACTGGGCACTGGTGAGGCCACACCTCAAATACTGTGTTCAGTGTTGGGCCCCTCACTCCAAGAAGGACATTGAGGAGCTGGAGCATGTTCAGAGAAGGGCAACCAAGCTGGTGAGGGGTCTGGAGCACAAGTCTGATGGGGAGCGTCTGAGGGAACTGGGGGTGTTCAGCCTGGAGAGGAGGAGGCTAATGGGAGACCTTATCGCCCTCTACAACTGCCTGACAGGAGGTCTCTTCTCCCAAGGCACAAGCGATAGGACAAGGGGAAATGGCCTCAAGTTGCGCCAGGGCAGGCTTAGGTTGGACATCAGGAAAAATGTGTCTTCCCCGAAAGGGTTGTCAAGCACTGGAATGGGCTGCCCAGGGAAGTGGTGCAGTCTCCGTCCCTGGAGGTATTTAAAAGCTGGGCAGACGAGGTGCTTAGGGACATGATTTAGTGGTGGGATGGCAGTGCTAGGTTAGCGGTTGGACTTGATGATCTTTTAAAGGTCTTTTCTAACCTAAACGATTCTATGATAGCTTAACAGTAATTACTGATCAAATCCTATTCAAGCTTTTTTATTTAAACATTGCTCTAACAGCTATTGGACAGTCTCCTGGGAATACATCTTGTTGCCCTGCTCTTTCTTTCAGGCTTGCACTGAGATGGTGATGCCCATGTGCACAGATGGTGTCAATGACATGTTTGAGCCTCAGAAATGGGACTTTGATGCACTTTCGGAAGAGTGTTACAGGTTGTGGGGAGTGAGGCCTCGTCCCTCTTGGATTCTTTCTATGTATGGAGGGAAGAACATCAGTTCACACAGCAACATCGTCTTCAGGTGAGCCTTGTTTCAGCTTGTAGAGTGGAATCTTCCACCAGTTTGGGTTGTCAGTGCAGAGAGCCTGCCCTAAGTAGCAAAAGGGTCTATCTGTGCACCAGCTGAATAAATGATGGACATGCTCTTGAGAGGTAAAATGGTCAATTTGCAGTAGCCAAAGAAGCCAACTGTTCTGTCACTGCTTGTGTGACTCTAAAAGAAGAATCTTGGTTGGAGTTCTGCCAAATGTAATTTTCTTCCTGTGTGGATTCCTTCTTATCTTGTGGCCACAGTCCAGGTTTCCCATGCTGGTAAATCTGTCCAGCTTTTATGAAGCCAAAGCACTGTTTCTTCCACATGAAAGGAAAGTCTAAACAAGCTCTAGGTATAATACAGGATCTTGGTCACTAACTGTTGCTCGGGGTGATAGCCTTGTGGAGGGGCTGGTGTGACGTTCCTCTATACAGAAAAGGGAGGGAAGTAACTTGGGGAGCTTTCCTATGACTGCCAATTGCCCTTTTCTTTTAGCAGTAATTAGGCAAGTTTCAACAAACTTGTGTAAGATCCAAATACAAAGAGAGATTTCCATTCTAGCACAGCATACTGGTAATGCAGCAGAAGTTTGTCTGAAATACCTTTGTATGTGGACAAAAAGCTAAATGAATATTTCAGTCTAGTGCAAAAAGTAGTGCATGCTGCTTGCCCCTTACTCAGCCTTCACTTTCTGTATTTTTAAGGTTAAACTCTTTCTTTAAAAGGAGGTTCATGTAGTTGTACTTCTACTGTAAAGAGATAAAACAGCTAAGTTTCTGAACTAAGGCCGTTCATTAGGTTGTTATGTGGTAGGGAGGCATTTAATAAACCCATTGAAGCTTGTGCTTCAGGAGTTCTGACTTGCTGTACTGATTGCCCACTGTGGGCAGCTCCTGGATATATATATTCCTCTGGTTAAAATTGTGCAAGGCCTTTTAAAAAAAAAAAAAAAATAAAAAAATAAACAAAACCCCTGCCATGTCTTTAAACAAAACTTAGAATTAGTCTGTTTGACTTGGTAAATAGGTGTGTGTATTAGAAGTAGAAAGTTCTCACTTGAATTGGGGATTATTCTCTGGATTTCAGCTGTTAGCATTGGTCTGTCTGGCTCCAAAGGCCTGTTGCTTTCCTCTTGTTTGTCTCTTGCTGTTTCTGTCCCAGCAGGATACCTGCTCTAGAGTGAGAAATTCCACCTTTTTTTGGAAGACTTTTTAATTAAAAAAAAAAAAAAAACTGTTGGTTTAACTTAATTTCTGCAGAGCGTTGCTTATTTCCAAGGCTTCACAACTCTGTACAGTAGAAATCTGCTTTGTAAGCAATGGACAAGCAAACAAATCTAAGTGTTTAAGAATTTATGCCAGCTGAAGGACCTTGAAATGAGAAAAGCTTGAAAGCATCCAAATGAATGGAGAACTAGTGCTGTACACACAAAGCTTTGGATCTCAAGCTGCGTTGTTTCTCTTCAAACAAATACATTGTCAACACTACATTTTATATAAGAGCCTTTTATCCTCCAACACTACAGAATGCTTTACAAAAAATATCACTATGTTTGCCGGGGGATGTGGCTCCCTGTGGGGTGAAAAGCACTGTTTCAAGTGTCAGGCAACTTGCACAGCAGTTGAGCGCAGGAAGGGAAGAATACTTGCATCTAAAGAGAACCACTGTAGGGTGGATTTATCCACCTGCAGTGGGATTTGGCTAGGATGCTCAAACTGGTGTTGCCACTTCTCCCTTTGCAAGCAGTGCATCACTCTGCAGATTCACACAGTGTTGTATGTATTGTATGGTATCGACGCAGGAGTCTGCACCGCAACTTTGCTATGTTGGAGGTATGTAATTAGTGTGTGAGTGCTAACTTAGGCTGTAGGCAGATATCATATGCCTGTCCTGGGCAGTGCATCTTTATTAAAAGTATAGCTTGAGGAAATTGGGATTTTCAGAACCCTGTTTGCCTTCTCTCTTCCAGCAGTTTCTGCTCCTGGTACTTATACTGGAACATGCTCTATACTTGGTCTGGAAGTGCTGCATGGTGGTGGAAATAGTGTTTTAACACTGTTCATGCACGCGGTGGCAGAGAGCTTGTAGCAGTTGGTATACACATACTGTGGTAGTCAAAATCAGCCCAGCTTGTAGCAGAGTGTGAAATATGGTGTACGCAGCTTAAAAATTGATATTTTTCTATCTGGATGGATCACGCATGGGTTGTATGCTTCTAAGTTAGGGCACCCAGCTATCCAGTTCTGTACTGGTAAGGGAGAGGCAGAGAGTGAAGGCTCTGTTTGGGGAGATACTGGACCTATGTGCAGAATGGAGGATTGTTAGCATAAAAGGTGGGAATGGAGGAAACGAGGAGAAGGCAGAATAATGCCTTGGCTGAAGAGAAAAGGTGAGGAAAGAAAGGTAAGAAAAGGAAACTTGGCAGTTGTGGAGAGTGGGCATGTTAAAGGGTGTGCAGACAGCGCTGCTCTGCTAAGATTGTGTAAAACCTCTCCTTGTTCTGGGCAAGGCTGGAGAGCTGAGGAGGCTCTGAAGAGATGACAGGAAAGGGAATGGTTTGCAGTGGGATAGGCAGGACCCTATTTATGCTGTCAAGGAAATACGATGAATTGAAAAAAAGACTAGCATGCTGATATTCTGCCTTAGGTTTTTTCTGAATGCCTACTTGCCTGGCCACTGCTAGAAAGGAATGGCTGACTTTTTTATTCTTTCACTTCTTCTGTTTACACAGGGGCAACTCCTGTCCTGTAAGATGGGCAGCTGAGGACTTACATGCATGCTTAGTTTAAACCCAAATAATCCATTCCAGTTGGTATTGAACTATCTTATTCTGTAAAACTGTTACGACTTACGATTATTTTGTGCCCTCCATGCCCCCCTCCTCTCAGCAAGTATCGCTTCCCAAACTGTGTCAGTGCCTCTGGTGCCATCATTTGGCAGGAGCCACAGAGGACGCAGCCAGCTCCCAGAGAAGCCAGAGACAGTGTTGTTTTCTTGTGGCGTGCTTAGTTTCCACATGACTGGGACCAAAAGATCCAAGTCCATGTACATCTTGGGTCTCTCAGCAACTCATCCCTCGGTTGCCAAGGTGCTCTGCTGATTCAGGCGACCTTTTAAATCTAATGCTTTTTGCTTATTGGGCAGCTCTGTATGCTTTTTGTTTGGCAGATACAAAATGTTTTTCTTCTCCTAAGTCATATTTAGAATCACTGAAAACGGCTACAGAGATTCCAGATACTTGGGTTTTTTTGGTGGAGAAACAAATACAGTATTAATTCAGACCCCATCAGGTTTTTACTCCTAGTTATTTCTATGAAACTTTTTTACTCATCCTTTCTTTCTGTTACTTTCTGGTGCTGCCGTTGTGGCATTTATCTAGCTGCGTATCTCTTGATGTCCAAAAACGTTTTAATTTCTTAGACCTCCCTAGAAATTTACACTGATGTACAATAGCCCACCTCTAATGTTTCCTTTTGTGGGCAAGTCCAGTGTTTTAAGTGAGGAACAGATCTAGATTTGTGTAGTTCAGTAAGCGTATGGTTGTTGATTTCTTTGTGCAGAAAGATGGACTGCGTGTGGGAATAACATGGTGGTGAAGGAAAATAAGATGTATTAGGGATTACTGGGTCAAGCCTAAAGCTAGGAATGAGAGATACAAAACCCTCACCCTAGTCAAGCCATTGGCTTGCTTCATGGACCGGGTGTTATTTGGAGCCAGATCTACAGTGCAAGGAATCTTCTCATTGCTTTGGGGTGAGGGAGGAGGGGGAGCAAATGGCATTAAATTGTCCTGTCACAGAGGAAGAGTCATTTTAGAGAGTTTCTTGAGGGATAAAAGCTTCATTTTAATACGCTTGTTATTAGAAATAAGGGGACTAATGGAAGGTCCAAGCATTTCTTTGCAAAACCAGCACACAGCTGAGGCAGCAAAAGGTAGAACTTCCTGAAAATTCATCTCTGAAGGATCCAGTTGGTTATTAGTTTATGGCAGACTGTGAAGAAGGAAGGCAAAGTGTTTTGATTTTGGAATTTGGACATGTCTTGATGCAGGGGAACCTGAACCTTTTATGACAATGACAGCTGGCAGCAGATCTATCTCTAGAGGCTGTGGCACCAGGTTATTATCTGAGTTAGTAGATAATTAACGACAGAAGCATAGCTTTCTGTCTATGCGTTTGCAAAACGAGTTGAAAGTCAGTGCGGCGATGTTGATGTGAGCTGCAGCCCCACGGCTGACTGCTGGGCAGGCGTACCCTAATGAAGTGTTCTTCCCTTACAGCAATGGTGGCCTGGACCCCTGGTCTGCAGGTGGGGTGACCCAGAACATCACCGATTCCCTTGTGGCAGTCATGATCCCGGATGGAGCCCATCACCTGGACCTACGCAGCCGCAACCCTTTGGACCCTAAATCTGTGCAGCAAGCTCGAGCCTTGGAAATCTGCTACATGAAGCAGTGGATCGAAGAGGCTAGGCACAGCCAGTGAAGGGGTGGTACTGTAACAACTGCAGCCATTATACCTCTGCTGGCTTTGCTGGGAGCAGGGCCAGGCCTTATCACACGGTCGTCTGAACATTTCACTCCTGCTTCCTCACCCGTGTCGCAGTGCTAACCATTGCTTGCGCCCATGAGAGAGGCAGGCAGCAGACAGGTGGAGAGCGCTGTCAGATAATAAATTCTATTCAAAGTGCATGGATCGAGCTGCCTGCTCTGGCTTGCTTTCCTCTTCTGCTCTTCCCAAAGGCTGTGCTTTACCCTAAGGTAAAGAGTTCCTGTCCTAGGCTTGATGCCTTCCTCTCTGCGCTAGGTGATTGTCCTGACTGCTGGTATATACAGTGGA